ATTTTAGCATCTGACAAAAGCAGTCACTCAACGGCAGGTTCTGGATAACAAAAACTTCCTGTTTTCCCGAAAAACATTTAGAAAAACTAATCAGGGAAATGTGCGCGCACTGCAGCAACAGCACAGCCACTACCCGAAGAAAGAATAATCCATCAAACAGACTTATGGGATATCTATTGGACCCCTGGTATGCCGTTCATCAGACGAGTCTGCCGCATCAGTGGCGGAGTCGAACCATCAACCATTAGCATCAGAGCAGCGTTATCTGCTAAACCGGCATATCTGCTCGAAAAAAAAGTGTAAAATGCTTCTTTTTTTTTTTTTTTTTTTACTCAGAAAACGTGCACTGCTGGAAGGGCAAGTTTGAACACGAAGTTTACCTGTTGCGATTGGGGCTGTTCACTGCTGCCGCTCGCAACAGCTTTCGCCTTACATTCAGTCGCAAGTGCATGATTTATCCGAGCCACCTTCTGCGCAACTTCCGCTTCCAGCTTCTGCTCTCGCAGCTGCGTCACCGACAGCACAGCACCCGATGGCAGTGGCTTGCTTTCCTCTTCTTCATCAACGAAACTGTACGCATCCTCTGCAGCTGAAACGCAAGCGGAGAAGTTGTTCTAAAGAATCGGGCACACCTCGGTCACACCTTGCTACTGCCTCCTATTCTAGCGCTTTGTCAGAAACAAAGAAGAGAAGTGAACTTTACCTATTATGCTTTTTTGCATTCATGCAATGCAGAAAACGCATGTTGACGAGGCGTTGTCTGTGCGTGTGTGTGTGTGTGTTTGTGTCTGTTTCTGTCTGTACCGATTTTTCATTTCAAAACCTACAGTATCTACAGGATTGAAACTTTGGGAACTTAATCTACATGCACGTAGGGGCCCCAATCCCCAAAATGGCGCCCTTACCCGCGTGGTAGCCACGTACGGGCCTCCCAAAGTTCCTTATGGGCAAGCTGCTAACTCGGGAACCAGAAACGCTGGAAAGCTGAAACTTTAAGGGGACATTCCCCGTCCGCGCAGATACTAATAAGCTCAAGCGCAGTCCCCGGGTGTGCCTGGTACCCACATACGGGCTCACGAAATTTCTTTCGGGTAAGTTGCTAACTCGGGAGCCAGGAAAACTAGAAAGCTGAAATTTTAAGGGGGTGTTCCCTGACAATTCTGGCGGCCTATTTTAATTTAGCTAGAAGCATTTGCTGGAAAAACCGGTGCCGGTAGCGACAAAAACTGCGGGGAACTAAGCAAAAAACGCATTTTCGCACGGGCAGCCCGTGCGCTGGCCAATTATTTTCAGCTGTTATGAGCCCAACTCAACTCGTCAACGCTTGGCTTTTAAGACTTGAGCTGAAGACGTGATGGTGCACAGACCAAACTCTATCTCGAAAACCTGTTTTGTACTCAATTATAAAGCAAAGGTCAAACTGGCGGCACTTCATGCGTCTTTTATTTTTACTTAATTCATGATGCAAAAAAGTCACGCTTTTTCGCGATATTTCCTGATGATTAAATTGGACATGCATTAACAATTAAATCCACGTGGAGCAACCAATCGATCCAAGATTCAGTCATTCGTTTCAACGGTGAAACTGTACTGGCACATGCCAGGGAGTCACATCCGCCATCGTGGAAGGAAGTCACCGGAAATTTCCTCTACACGAAGCCATTTCTGGTCCCGATCACCGCTCAGACCCCTCCCGAATGTCACTGCCTTCCAGTGAAAGTGAAGCACAGATGAAATTTTTCACTTTTTTGACTCATTTCTTCAAAAAAGCTAGATTTTGCGGTCTGGCAGTTTGTCGTCCTATTTTTCCAATTCTTTCTGTCTTTTACTCCCTGTCTATTGCCAAAAAGAATCGCCTTCCCAACTAGCGCCGATGCTTGATTATGTATAAATTGGGAACAGCGCCTAAAACGCTGGTCGCATCCACATATGAGCATTTTAATGTAAAAACTTAGCAAATGTATGCCTTTGCACTAGCAAGTGAAAATCGCATGACGGCCACACCATGACTGAACGTATGCGTTCCAGTAATTCGATTTAGGAACTAACAAAAACTGGATCGAAATTTTGGGGATGACGAAAGAAGAAATCCCTCCGGGAAAAGAGAGCACGGGACGGATTTCGTCGTGGAAAAGAGGAATAAATGCATTGCTTTTGAGATAAGCGACACAGATGAAATCAGTTATTTCAGGCTTTCCTGTAAAATTTAATACATTTAATTTAAAACTTACAGCTTTCTTCTTTTTTGATTATAGGTTGAAGGAATGGATTCGTTTTCTGCTTGTAAATGGGAATTTTGTTGGATCTGTTCTTCTTTTCGGCTGGCGACATAAACACATAGCTTGATTTTGTCGTCGTTGGAGTTGATGACGCCGAGCTGCTTGAAGTGGTTGTCGGAGGAGCGGTAACAATGGTAGCAGAGGTAGAGGCGGGAAAGAAAACATTCATCAATGAAGCCAAACTTGTTGGTGGGGAAGGTGTCGGCGAACCGGGCGGTGTGAACTGCAATCAAAATAACATGAGATAGGACTAAAAAGTATAAGTTCACAGCGATGTCTATATTTTTAACAAATGAAGCATTTTTGTTCTCAAAAGCATAAACTCCTTGCGTGATCCCAAGCCACAATTCAAGTCCCTTCACGAATGCTTAGCACACAACCTACTGAGACTGGTGACTTTAGCTGGGAACTCACAAAAGCTGCTAATTGTGTGAACTGGAAGGTAACGCAAGCTACAAAGGCGCACTCCTTTCCTGATGAGCAAAGAAAGAAGGGTAAAAGGATGACCACAGCAACCAAGGAATGTACGTGATTTATGCTCATGGTATGAAAATACGCGATACAACCCAGGCTGGAACGCACCGGGCGGGCCGGTGCGATTATGCGTTTTTGCACTTCTCGTGCCGTAG